TTTTTAGTTTTTCTATGTTATTTTTATCAAAAACCAAAAACCATATTTTTGAGATTTTTAATACAAAAAACTAACAGAAAAATCTAAAACTAAAATCTATAATTCAAAAACTAAAAACCAAACCCAAAAACTGAATTAAAAAATCAGCATCCATTCATGGCCTAAAACATTCATGAGTTAAAAAAAAAAAAAAAGTAAAACCCCTAGGCCATAGTATTTTTTCATGGATCACATTTGGGCCTAGCCTGCTACTATAAAATTACGCAATATATGATCCAATTCAAAAAGCCTCTTAAGCTCTAGAAAGTTAAAGAAATCAAACGACGACGTTTACTCCAATAGAGGAAGACGGCAAAACACAAACGGGGTTACGTAAACCGTTACTCGCTACTCCGTCCGACGGAGAAGGAAGAAGCAAAAAACCAAACTTCTCCATCGATCAATCACTCTCTCCGGGATCTACATCGTCGGAAGAATCTCCCTTCCGACGACGTTTCTGCTCTATCCTTCATAATCATCGTTTCCGCCGAATAAACTCCGGTGCCGAATTTTGAATCCGGAGAATCGAATCTGAGAAAATCTCGTCTCCGGCGGTGTTAAATTATGGCCGGGATCTTGAATAAATTGCGGAATCTAGACGCTTATCCGAAGATCAATGAGGATTTTTACAGCCGTACGTTATCCGGCGGCGTTATCACTCTCCTCTCCTCCGTTGTTATGTTCCTTCTCTTCTTCTCCGAGCTTCGTACGTTTGACTATCCTCTAGATTTCGTTTCCGATTTGTATATGGTTTTGCATTGATGTATGTATTGATTTTGTTTAGGTTTGTATCTTCATACCGTCACGGAGACGAAGCTTATAGTGGATACTTCAAGGGGAGAGACGCTACGAATTAACGTAATGTTATTGCAGTTTCTTAAATAGTGATTTTGACTTGTCCTGTGTTCTCATAAGATTCATTGTTGATGCAGTTTGATATTACTTTTCCTGCACTAGCATGTTCGATTCTTAGTGTTGATGCTATGGATATTAGTGGAGAGCTTCATCTTGACGTGGTATGGTGAATTTTTGACTGCGTTAGTTCAGTGACTCTTAAGGTTTTTTGTGCTTGAAAGATGGTGTAAGGTTGTTTAATGTGTGGATTGCAGAAACATGATATCATAAAGAGAAGATTAGATTCTAATGGTAACACTATTGAGGCTAGACAGGACGGAATAGGCGCTACTAAGGTATGTTCTCTGTTTTTATGGACTGGTTAATGTGTGATTTCGTAAGTAGAAGATTGAAACTCTTTTGGTATGCTTTTCATTATATTCTCTGGGATTTTATAGTCATCACGCTAGAATATAAGGCTAGGATAAAGTTGCAGGAAAATGGCTATTTGACTATATAATGGAAAGGACTGAAACAAGTTTGTTTTTGCTTGTGCAGATTGAAAAACCATTGCAGAAACATGGAGGCAGGCTGGAACATAATGAGACTTACTGTGGTTCTTGCTATGGGGCTGAAGCGGTATCTTTCTCTGTCTCTCTGCGTATTTCCTTTGGAGCATGGTTTCTCCGGTCCATTTGCGGATTAGCCTTGATTTTTTAGTGCTAGAATGGGATGTCATAGTGGATCTTATTTTCTGTACAATATATATAGACTTATCATGTCAGGATAGGTGATGGTACCTTTTTAATTGGCTTTTTATCATGTCGGGATAGGTGATGGTAACTTTTTAATTGGCTTTCCTACTAGATCTTTTTGCTTTCATGTGACCTATGTTGTTTATCCTTACAGGAAGAGCATGACTGCTGCAATTCTTGTGAAGATGTTCGTGAAGCATACAGAAAGAAAGGTTGGGGGGTTACAAATCCAGATTTGATTGACCAGGTGAGTCACTGAGAAATAAGTTCCTCACCTTTTGAAATCTTGGCATATGTGTTTCATTGTAGTAGTAACAAGCTCAGTTTCATTTCTTTCTTTCTTTTTCCGTCTTCTTCATCCTCCCTGTTAGAGTCTTAAAGGCTTGTATTCATTTTTTTTTTATTTGGTATGCACTTGTAAAGCTCTAAACTGATATATGCGTCCAAGAGTTTCTAAATTTTCTATCTTCCCACAGTAAGCTGATAGTTTCACTTGTCTGTTTGTGATTCAGTGTAAACGAGAAGGGTTTCTACAAAGAGTAAAGGATGAAGAAGGTGAAGGCTGTAATATCTATGGGTTCTTGGAGGTAAATAAGGTGGCTGGAAACTTCCACTTTGCTCCTGGGAAAAGCTTTCATCAGTCGGGTGTGCACGTTCATGATCTCCTTGCGTTTCAGAAAGACAGTTTTAATGTAAGAAATGACTTGTCCTATTTGACTTCATTTCATTCGTTATGTTTCCAATTCTATATAATTCAGTATGTTGTGCCTCCCTGCAGATAAGTCACAAGATCAATAGACTGACTTATGGAGACTACTTTCCTGGTGTCGTTAATCCTCTTGACAAGTAATGACCATTCTGGTCTATTCCATTCATACTCTACTTATCTTGTCATGCTCTCTAACATACTTGAAATTGCAGAGTCCAGTGGAGTCAAGACACACCTAATGCTATGTACCAATACTTTATCAAGGTTTGTTCCGAGACAAGCATGATATGCTAACTACATTTATGTTTAAAATCCCTTCTTTACACCGTTCTACTTTGTCTGCTTTTATTAGGTTGTACCAACAGTATACACAGATATCAGAGGACACACAATTCAATCAAATCAGGTGAAGATAGACTTTCAAACTGTTCAAACTTATAATCTAAATATTCTCATCCTCGTATGATATTAACTTCAAAGTAAAATGTGCAGTTCTCAGTGACCGAACATGTAAAGAGCTCAGAAGCAGGTCAACTACAATCCTTACCAGGAGTTTTCTTCTTCTATGATCTTTCACCAATCAAGGTGAGTGTTTATTCCAACTCCAACTCAATAAACCGAAAAAAAAAAATATACATTCGTAATCCTAATAGAATTGTGTTATCTCTCGGCAGGTAACATTTACAGAGGAACATATATCGTTCTTACACTTCTTGACGAACGTTTGTGCCATCGTCGGAGGTACTATAACCTATCTCTCTCTCTCTATAAACACCCTAAGTCCATAAACCATAACATAAATCTGCAACGAAACATGTAAAAAACACGCAGGCGTATTCACGGTATCCGGGATCATAGACGCGTTTATATACCATGGACAAAAAGCTATCAAGAAGAAGATGGAAATTGGTAAATTTAACTGATCTCTTTTTTACATTTACAGTTAGTTGAAAGCCTTTTTTTGTGGGTTTGGTCTCTCTTTCATAAACCCTACGCGTCAAAATGTATTTTATTTAATTCTTTTTGGTTAAAACTGATATGACTATATAAAATATATACATATACGTTACGAGTCTTTATAATGAAGTTGAAGAGATAAGTCTTTGGTTGTATCAATCCAGCTGTGTGATAGCAAGTTCATGCGTGCGTTACAATTATCGTCTTTTGACTTTGTGTCTGTTGAAGATAGTATTATGGGTTTCGATCAGAAGTTAAGTAAGTATTGAGTCTGTCTTTGAATGGTGTGTATGGATTCAATGAATGGGTTATGGAAGAAAAAGAAGCAAAACAGTCTCCATAATAAACGCTAGTGCTAGTGTATAACATTGTTTCTTCCTTTGGTCTACCGAATTTGCATAGGGAATTTTGGAGAAATACCTCTTTTGGTGTACTTTTTTCAAAAATGATCTTTTTGGTGTACTCTTTTCAAAAAAAATTTTTATCTATCCATTTTCAAAAATATTCATGCTTAAATATAAAAAAAATTATAAAGTTTTATATGGTTTATAAGGTACTTCTATATAATAACTACTACTTAAAGATTCAATACAAATATTTGATAATGTTTTAAAAGGTTTTAAATCGTTTTTACAAGTTTTATAATGTTTTTAAATGGTTTTTAAAAAGGTTTATAAGGTATTTAAAAAGTTTTTATAAGTTATTTTTACGCTATTTATGAAAGATATATAAAAGTTGTGTATCTTATGAAAGGTTATGTATATATTTATAAGTTTACACACATATTTGAATAAATTTCAACATTTTTAGTGGTTGTTTTTTATAAAATTTAAAATGGATGTATTTTTAAAAAGTGGTATTTTTGAAATTGCTCTAGAAACTTTTAGCCATTTTTTATTATTTTGAAAGATTTACTACGAATATGCTATTTTTTGCTAAATTTTATGCTTTTGTTATTTTTGAATACTTAAAAAAAATATCTATATTTATGCTATATCTAAGCATAACGGGTAAAACACATGATTAATCATATTTCTGTAGTCAGAAAGTTAGAAAAAAGAAAATCATGTTTCTTTAGTCTGAAAATAAAATCTAAAGATAAAATGGCAAAATCTTTAAAAAGCCACTAAAAAGTGGTAAATTCATCATTGATTCCATCTTTAATCATTGATAGTGAATTTGCTCGTTAAAAACTAACTTTTCTCAATTCAGAAAAAAAAAAAGAATATATCCTGTTTATAGTTGTAACTTATATAAACTGGATAAAATATCTTTACCAAACAAAAAAATAAGAGTGGATAAAATATGAAATTTATCTTTTACAAGTCTATTCTAGAGTAAAAGCATTGGAATGTCATTTGTTACATCATTTTGATACCACCTAAAGTTTCACTAAAGGATCCTTTTCTTACACTCTTGTCTTCTTCTTTTGACTTCTTTGAAACTTGACTAAAATTTCCAATATTAAGCTTGAGCTTTAGCAATTTAAATTTTAAGTTTTCACTCTATATGGATTCCTTTTAGGTTAACTTTACCTTTAATTTTAATCATTTCTAATCTTAGCATAATGGTCCTGTTACAGAATCGAACTTAACGATCATTATGTATTACAACATATTCATAATAGCCTTTCTCATTTTTCTAAGTAAAAAGAATGTTATATTTAAACCAAATTCATTACAATGAAGATAAAGAAGAGAGGGAACAAAGAAAAAAAGCTTGAGCTGTCCATAATTTACACACTTGCATTAAATTCATACAAAATGCTAAAATTACAATTTTTTAAGCAAAGCTAATTAATAACCCTAAGTTTTAAACATATAAAATACAAACATGTTATAATGAATAAAAATGAATAGAATCCTAATACTTTTTTTTTTCACGATAAAATTGTAGCCCAGTCGATTTCGTAAGAGGGACACTTCCCAAGTATGAAGTTTTCATTCCACGGCATCTCTGGCTCTTCGCACATCTCCGTCACCATAACATCATCCGACGTCGGTGAACCCGAACCGTCACTTTCACCCGACCCGGAATGTTGCTGTGTTGCTGCTGGTTGCTTGACCGAAGAAGCCGTAGCTTTAGCTCGTTTTCTTGATGTCCTCTCTGTTTTGCCCGGCTGGTTCTTCGGCTCAGCTAATATGGCTTCAAGCTTAGCGTCAACGGCGGCTTGAATAGGACCGTATTCGCCGGAGTCAGATGGAGACGAGCCGGTTTGGTATCGAAGTGCGGGGAAGTTTAGCCGAGCCGAGTCGCCACGAAGTTTGAACGCAGCGCGGTCATAAGCCAACGCGGCTTCCTCAGCCGTGTCGAATGTTCCGAGCCAGAGTCGGGTCCGGTTTCTGGGTAAACGGATCTCCGCGACCCATTTTCCCCAGTGCCTTTGCCTCACTCCACGATAGAGCTTAGCAGGCTTTGAAACCGAACCCGAACCCAAACCCGAAACCGGACTTTGTTGAGTCATAAAACCCGGCTGACTCGGGTCGATGAAGTTGAGCATGCAAGTATTGTCTTGGTGAGGGTAAGTGATATTGTCTTGGTAATGGAACTGAGATTGGTAGTTTTGTTCAAAAGAATCGGGTTGTTGGAGATCCGACCCGAAAGAAGATGGATAGGTCATGGATCCGGAATAAAGATCCGGGTAAGAGGTTGTGAAAGATGCATGAGGATTATAGTAAGAGGAATAAGAGAATGAGTCGTTTGGCGCAGACGCAAACGCAGCGTTTGAAGATGCAAACGCAGAATCTGAGGCAGACGTGGAAGCACTTTTATAAAAAGGTTGAAGTGCTTCCATAAGCTCGCCGCCTTGGCCGCCACCGAAGAAATCCGCCATCGGAGTTTCCTGAAATACAAAAAAAAAAAAATATATACTACAAAAAATATAAAAATTAGATTTAAAAACCTGTCTTTTTAGAAAAAAATTTCAAAGACTAGTTTTTTTTCTTTTTACAGAAAATAAAATTTGATCAACAAGGTTTGAAATAAGCAACCTCCATAGATCAATAATATAAATAAAAAAAGAGGATCAAAAAACTTGAGGGAACTAAAAAATGCCCATGAACAAGTTTGATCAACTCTTATAAATGAATGAAAAATAAAAGAATATAACTAGACAAAAAAATTCATTTTTTGGGAAAACAAAGATGGATCTCGTTTTCTTGAAAACAAATTTTTTTTTTTTTGGTCACAAAAGTTTGTGGTTTAGATGAGTTTGGACAAAATATAAACTCATAAAGCAACACTTCATAAGAAAATCGTGATTTGTGTTTTGTTTTTCAAGAAAGACTAAGACAAGACCAAGGAAGAGTTTTGTGTTTTGTTTGTTTGGTTTGGTTTGGTATGAAGATGAAACGAAGCAAAGAAAACAAGAAGAAGAGAGATATGAACCCTAGTTTTTTTTCTCACTCAAATCTTTTTTTTTTCTTTCTTCTCTCTCACTCACAACACTCACTCTCTCTCTCTCTCACACACACTACTCTCTCTCTCTCTTTTGGAAGATGCTCTCAAGCTCACCTTGGAGATACCCACCCAAGTCTCAGCGTTTATATAGAGGCTCTTCCAATGAAAGAAAATATTAAAGTATTTCATGTACCAATTATAAAAGTAATGTATTTGACTCACGCTATATATATACAAGAAGCGTATAATCAATATATATTTGAAATGAGAAAAATGAACTCTAAAAATGGTTAAAACACACACATAAATTTCGATTCAAGAATTAAATTTATATATTTTATCTTAAAACATGTATTCATACTTCGAAATGTCGTCGTTAGAAGTTACAAATTTAGCTTTTATTACCAGAACCAAACTAATTTCGTCGTTAGAAGTTAAAAATTTAATTCTTAATACCCGAACAAAACGAATTTCGTTGTTAGAAGTTAAAGATTTAATTCTTAATACCCGAACAAAACTAATCTCGTCGTTAGAAGTTAAAGATTTAGTTTTTGTTACCCGAACCAAACTAATCTTGTCGTTAGAAATTAAAGATTTAATTTAATCATTTTCGAAATGTCGCCGTTCAAACTTATAAAATATTTTAATTTTAAAACATCTATCCTATTGAAAATTTAAATCTGAAATAATTTGAAATAAATAAATCTCAATATATTTTTTAAAAAGATATTAAATAAAAATAATACTGAATATAAAATCCTTAATTAGTACTATATATGTTTAAAAGGACAGTTATATGATAAAGTGTTTGGGTTCCACAATTAAAGTGCCCATATTGAAGAATCCGTGATATTAACGTGACTAAATTTTCATAACTTTTTAACATTTTCACGGCACTTGGACTCTCTCTTGAGATTGAAGATTCCATGCAGAAGAGTTGTCGAAGTACATAGCCAATAAAACCAAGTCACATCTCTTTAGTGCCACCACTTGGCTTCATATTCTCTTAATATTTGGCATCCATTCTCGTTTCTCATGCCACTTTTGCGGTATTACTTTTGTTTTCTTCTTGCAACCATCGAAAGAATCGTTTAGTGGAACAAGTTTCTATAAAACAAGAAGTAACAACATCTCACAAGATACTGCCTTGTGGGATAGTTTAGTACAATTCTATTGTTCCATTAAATAATAGTTATATCAAAATTGTTATAGAGTTTGATGGAACACTAATCTTTTCACATACTTTGTGGAGGGTTTTGTAGTATATTCTCCTTTAGATTTACTTAAATATTTGGCATGTGAGTGAGATGTGATTGATATAGTTATTGTTTCTAGTACTAGTAAGATTTGGATGTCCTAATTCGTTAAAAAAATATTGCTTTAAGATAAAGGATTGAAATGATACTTATACTCATGATTGAACGATTTGTATTTGAATTTTTGTCAAACTTAAAGATGCATGTTAGACTTCATATATACAATGAAGACCGTTTGATAAAAAGATTAAGAAGAGTTGAACACTTACAATGGATCGTTAGAAATGAAAAAGATGATGTAGGTTAAATTTATATTGAATCTAGACAAATTTAAAAACACCACAGAATTTGTGGCGTTTGCTAGTTAGGTAAAGAATTGTTTTTAGATTCATATGACCATTTTTACCAAATAGCTTTTGGGGCAGTGGCGTGTGTCAGACCTCTTGAAAAGAGTGAGAAGTCTGAGTTCGAATATATTTGGGAGGAATTGCAATTTTGTTTCGACAAAGTTTATAGAAAGACAGGTTCCAGCAAAAAGAAATTATCAGCCTTGGCTAGATTTTGACCAGTGACTGCGATAGCAACACAAAATTAAAAAGTCAAAACTTCTCTAGATTTGCACCAAAATAAAACCCTCTCTATATTAGACGCACTATTAGATTTAATTCCGAAACCCATAAATTCAACAACCGTTAGTTTGTAAAATTGGTCGCTGGTTTATATGGTGTTTCTGAAATCATCCGACGGATAATGAAAGAAACTTAAGATTTTTTTACCTGAACTATTTAATATCAATGATTTTATAAATTAGCCTAAAGAGTGGATATTGTTGTATTTGTTTTGGCTTTTTATTATAGTAAACTCTTTTAATTATAAGAATGTGTATTCTAAACTTTTGTTATCATTTATTTACAATTTCTGTATATTTTTATTTTATTTTTGTTAGACTCCAACTGCCAACAACTACCGTTGGAATAATAACAACGGTGATAATTAGGTGATAAGTTAAGTTAATAATGAAATAATAATAATAATAGAGATCAATACTAATTAATAATTTAAGTGATAATTAAGTTTTGGGAGTCACGTGGGGAATGAAAGCATCACGTGATCTCAGGCGCAATTTGCTGCAAGTGGGGAAATTGGACTTTACGTTGGCGTCGTCTTGAAATGATGAAGACTCCTCACGCGTTGCCTCGGCGCGTGTGTTGTTTTCTGTTTTCTCGTAATTAATCTTTTTTCCTTAATCAACTAATTAAACACATGCTTATGAGTTCTGATATGTTATGAAATTGGTAATTCTCTTAAATACCACTAAAATATATATTTTTTAAAAATAATACTATGAGTTTTATGTTTCAAAATACCATTAAAATACATTTTCTACAAAAATATCACAAAATTATATATAACACTTTTAGCATTCAAAACTAATTTCTAAATCCTAAAGACTAAAACCTACCCCTAAAAACTATATCGTAAATATAAATAGTCAAACCAAACATTAAAAACAATTATACACCTTCAAAATCTGATTTTTATGTTTATGGTATTTTTGGAAAAATTAAATTTTTGTGGTATTTTTGGAATAAAAAACAAATTGCGGTATTTTTTAAAACAAAAACTTAAAATGTGCTATCCAAAGTTATTTCTCTTATATAATCATAGTAAAATTTTATAAATAAGATATGAAGGAGATTAATTGGGAAAACACAAAACTACACTATTCATAATGTAAGAAAAGTGTAAGAAAATTTAATGAAAGTTTGATATAATAAATCTATATGACTATTGAAGGACTTATAGTTAACTTCTCATAAACTAGTGATCTTGTATAAATAACGAGACTATTCATAATTAATAGTAAAACACCATTTTTTCTAACTTGAAACACTTTTTCTAAAATTTTGTTTCGTAAAACTTATAAGTCAAATTTATATCTCTAATTTAGTTATGATCAAATAAATACTAAATTTGCGAGTCTAAAAAAGTTTTTTAAATATTTTTTCTTAGATATAAACCCACCTAAAACACATACAATAATAAAGTAAAATGGTTTAAAAAATACTGACCCAATTATTAAAACCTGTCTTGAATAATTTTACAAAATACAAAATTTTCTTGTTCTCAAAAATAATTAGCACCCTAATTTTTAGAGTAAAAAGTATTTTTGTCCAAAAAAAACTATTTCAAAAGAAAGAAACGAAGATCTTTTAAAGTTCAAATTTCTACATCAGGAAACCTTTCTAGCATGAGTTGATCTTTTATAAATCTCCAACTAATCTTCTTGAAAAGAAGTTTCCCCAAATATATATATGAAAATGCTTGAACAAAATTGCCCTTTCGATGAAATTTAATAGTGCAAAAATAAACTAATAGTGAAAAAAATAGTGCTAATTGATGAACATGATTCTTACTTATATAAAGATAAGGGTCAAAAGAGAATTAGTGCTAATTGAACATGATTCTTGGACCGTGTTGGACGGGAGGCCCCAACACCAATATCAAAAGTTTACTATAATTGTGTATCATTACTATTATATGATATGATCAGGAATTTATTCTTCATTTTTTATCAAATTATTTATCAAATGATCGAGATACGCTCATAACTAGCGTCTAATCGCAATTAGTGACTGATTTTATAATTTATCATCATCTTCGACTTTTCGATTGTTTAAATATTTGAGTGGCGAAATCAATTTCTGTATGTAATTTGAGTATAGCAATTGTAACTCGAAACGACCTAAACCCGAAAATACCTAAACCAAAATCAAACCAAAAATCTAAAATTACCTATTAGGTTTTATTTTCCTAAATCCGTATAACCCGGAACGGGTTCTATCCGAAACCGACCCGAAAACTCGAATGCCCAGACCTAGTTTAAAAAATAATATAACTAAATAAAAAACAGTTTAAATAATATTTACTTTCAGAAAAAACGAATAATAGTTTGCAAATTATTTTAAATGATTTATCTGAATGATTAAACGAACAAAGTCTATTTATATTTTACATTTCAATTGTTTTGGTCAATCCCTTTATATAATATATTTGAGTATAGCTTAAGTTAAAGAAACACTTGTGTAACTAATAGAATTAAGGATTGTAATGTCGACATTTCTGTCTGTCATCTTCTTGATTTTCTTAGGTTGGGTGGTATAATTGTAGAATACCAAAAACGCGTTATTTGTATTTTACAAGTCAAACATACACAACTTTTACCTGTCACTAGTAATGAGAATTAAGATATTTTATCCATTGCCATTAACCATGTTATCTTATGAAACTTTATGGCTATAGTGAATCCATCATAAGTTAATAAGTGAGCTTGTATATTTATAATGTAATAATCAATTAAATAATTCTGTTTTCTATAAGTGTTCTTTAATATATGGAAGTTTATTTTGTTGATTGGTTAAATAGTAAACTATCATATGCTTCATTTTTAATAAGCCTGAAAACTTAAACGATTTATTAATCTATATTCTGAAACTTTAAAAACAAATAAAATGACATTGAAAAAGTATCTTAAATGAGAAACTATTTATTTTAGAAAAAAAAATATTCATTCCGTTACTAATTGATACAATTTTCGTTGAGTGTCATCCTTCACTGTAAACTCTTCTTCATAAGTTTTATTGGTAAATCAATGATTTCAACATGAAATGTAACAAATTCTAAGTTAGTTGAATGATTAGCAATGTTCCATGTTTATATACTAT